AAACAGGATTTCAGGGGCGGTATTCAGACTTCGTAGGCAAAACCCAGCAAAACCCAGCAGCGGACGAGAGCCCTCCTGCACTTTGGAACTCCCTGCAGGAGGAGCCGCCAGCCACAGGCCGATTCCATGGGAACCTCCGTTCCGCTGCTGGGCCTGTTCCTAGTTGCTCCATTTGCCGAAGGAACAAGTGGCACCTTCCTGGTGCCCTGGGTGCAGGCTGCCCACCGACTCAGAACCGCCCCTGACGGGGTCTAAAGGGGTGATCTCACTCTAAAACCCACGCACGGTCCTTAACAGACACAGATGTTTGCCGTTTGGCAGGTGGGATGGGCAGCAGCACAACTTCTTAACTCCGCTGGGTTTTTTCCCAAAGTACAGCTGGCGGGTCACAGTGCACACCACCCAGGAATGTAAGTGCTGGGTCACTGCTCTGAAGGTCACCAGCTCTGGCCTGGACGTGCACATCCCAGCACTGTCCCCTGGATGGGCCCCGTCTGGCCCTCGATGGCCTTTCTCTAAGTGCAGACCAGCACCAGGCGCACATTCCGTCAGTGCGGACCCCCTGCGCCCAATCCCCCACCCTCAGGACCTGGGCACCCCGTGCTCCTTGAGCCCAGGGGCAGGAAAACACATGGAAAGTCTCATCTGGGCCGTCGCCTGCCAATTCCTTCAGACGGGCCACCTGCGGCAAACAGGTCTCACCCGAACTCCGGGACAGACAGATGGACGGACGTCCATCAGTCTCTACAAAAGGCACAGAGTCCCACGCTTGACCTGACGCCACCCTGGAGTATGGACACGGCCCTGCCTGCTTGTCCCTCATCATCTATCTACCCTGGAAGGTGCCCACAAGGACTCCACTTGACCCCACAAGGCCTGCACACTTTCTTCCTTCTCATTCCACCTCTCTGAAGCCATAGGCGGGCGCCAGCATCTCCTCAGACAGGCCACTTGACACCGGTGTCCAGACACAGTGTTGGTGGCTGCCAGCCAGGCCAGGTCTGCGCTATCCAGGACCCTCCCTCCCACTCCACGGGGCTTCCTGAGAGCGCCGAGTTCGGCACAGTCCAGTGGGTGGACAGGACTGCGGGGGAAGAAGGGAGGGCCACAGCGCCCATCTCCACGGCAACCAGACACACCCGCTGCCTGCAGGGAAAGAAGAGCACTTTAACAAACCACAGAAACGCCCACACACTGCACCCGGAAGCTACTTCTGGGAGCGAACACCAAGGAAACAATTCAGCAGAGGGAAAAAAGATGCTTGCACAAAGACATTTGCGCCCGTGGGCGATAACCAACAGACTGGAATCCAATGAGCTCAGGGCAGCAAAACCACTGGGACCCCCTTGGTTACTAGGTAACGGTCCCAATGATTACTATGAAGACTGCAGAGGCGTGGGCGAGTTTATACAAAAGAGTAAATCAAAAAGGATACACTTTATATGCTATGATTATAATCACTGAAACTTTGGAGAAACTGTGTACCAATTTGTATACATTCGGACAAAGCCTGGAAGGGAAGAGACTAGTGAAACACCGTGTTACAGTAACAGGACAGGATTCTGCCTCTACACCTTTCTCTGTGGCTGCCAGGCTGGTCTCAGAGCTAAAAACGACTGGACTGAACACTGGTGCTTCTTGTGGGCAGCAGGGAACTGCCGAGAGGCCCTGGAGACCCTGCACCGCCCACGGAGGAGAAGGCCTGAGTGGGAACGCTGGGACCCTCCCAGGACCCACGAGGACTGGAGGCTGTAAGAGCAGCTAATTCCCTCCCCGGGTGCCTGTCACTGAGATGAGACAGCGTCTCCTCTCTGATGAGATGTGGGGCCGCGTCCGGGACTGGCTGCTCAGCGCCCCACAACCGTCATCGGGGCCCCTCTTGTGCCATCCCTTTGGGTGCGTGGGACAAGGACCCAGGACGCTCGCATGTCCTTCGTTCCCTTGTCTGTGCGAGTCATAAACTGTCTGAACCTACAAGAGGCGCAGTGTCTCTACCAGTCAGACCAGTCAGGTCTTGGCCTTGGCCTTGCCTTGGAGCAGGTGTGAGTTGACAAGGTCCCGGCACGTTGTTTTCATAAATTATTAGTGCAACCCAAGAAGTGAGTGTGTGTGTGTGTATGTGTGTGCATGTGCGTGTGCGTGCCGACAGGAACATATGCCTCCAACTGCCATCGTAAATGAAATGGGGGAAACAGGAACACACTCACACACACACACACTCACACACTCACACACACACTCACACACACACACTCACACTCACACACACACTCATAAACACACACTGGCCAGCCAGGAAAATGGGGCCACACAAGCCTCGTCTAGACTGGGGGGCCTGGATTCTGGTGCCCCCTAGGTTTTCAAACTTGAGAACTTCCTTGCCCTCTTGGGCCCCCGTTTCCAAGTCCACCAGCGAGGAGGGGAAGCGTGGAGGAACCCGGCCCCAGCTGTGCTGTCCTCTCCACGCCGAGATCACAGCCAGACTCGAGGACCTGCAGAGCCAGGCCTGGGGGTGCCCCGGGCCCCACTTCTGCTGCAAGCAGGTACGCGGCAGCAATAAGTCACCCGAGCAAAGGCAAATGACCTCTAGTGTCCCGTGAAGCTGCTCAGACACGTGCCTGGGCTCCGACTGCTCCGTCTGCGTGCAGAGCAAGCTGTGTCTGCACACGCCAGGCGCGTATGTGGGAGCCGCAGCACCCAGGAATGCACGGCACCCACTTCCGGAGGGAGTCCCGGTCCCGGGGGTCTTCAGCAGCTTCGCTCTGGGGCCTGGGGGGCTGGGGTGGAGTCACAGAGTGTGGTTCACGGTCAGTATGAGGGTGCCAATGAGCCAGCAGGGTAGGGCAGGTCCAGGAGAGTGGCTCCTTCCTGCTGGGGGAACAGGGAAGGCTTCCTGGAAGAGGCAGCCTTCAAGCTGTGTCCTGCAGGCTGGTCAGAACCTAAACCCGCGGAGTCGGGAGAGGAGATTCCAGGGTGCTGTGTGTTCAGAGACGTGGGTGTGGGGAGGGAAATTCAGTCTGACTTCATAAATTAGTAGGAAGCAGCAACAGGGACCAGACCACAAGGGCCTTGAACGCCGGACCAGCACCCTCCCAGACCAGCCGTCTTCCTTAAGTCTTTGTGCTTGGCATAGTTTGAAGCAAGATAAACTCAACCATTAAGAAATCCAGAGCTAGTGATGGAGCCACAGGTGAAACCAACGGACTTATTAATATTGTTTTTCCCCAACCACTTTCTTAGTGCAAATAACTGCTTGAGAAGAAAAACGGCTTCTACTTAGTATTTTCTTGTTGTGCTGGGAGACAGAGCCAATATTAAGACGTATTTTGGCAGCAGCCAAAAGTCAAAGGTAATTCCGAAAAGAAGGTGATCATAAGTCTTGTAGCTACGGCAGAAACACGTGTCACAGACTTTATTTCACTCATGAACTAGTGAGAGAACCAGAGAGATGCTGTGGCCGGGAGTCTGCAGGGAACCGCGCAGTGTGGCCGCCAGAACTGCTGGAATCAACGTGCTAAACAGACACGAGACCAACAGTGGTCCGACCCCCATGGGGCGAGAGTCTGTCGCCTCTGCACCAGACGGTCCTCGTTGTCACAGACAAGAAACACACATGCTGCCGTCTGATAGAGTGACGCAGCTCAGAGACACGACCAGGCCCAGGGACTGGGGACCGGGGACCCCGGGCCCCAGAAACCAGACAGCTTTCCCGCCCAGGATGCTCAGGAGACGCTGGATCTGCTTCAAAGTCCCCACAGTTGCTCCCTACGAAGGTCAGTACTGGTCCCCGCACAAACCGCACACTCCCAGGCACACGCTCCACAGGAAGCCGCAGTGAGGACTGACCCGGGAGGCTTCGAGCCTGGCCATCGAGGCTCGGCAGGTGAGGAGGCAGGTCCGTGGCCACCTGGTTCCCCACAGATCGGGAGTCAGGGGGCCGCCAGGGCTGTGCCTCGCGCCAGCTCCAGGCGAGCCCCTCCCGCCCTCCTCCAGACTTCTGAAAGGGGGGGCCTGGCCCCCCGCCAGGGTGCTCAGCCCTGGCCACCCGGGAGTCGTCTGAAGAGTTTTGAGCTGTACACTTGCCCTGCTCTAGAAATTCCACCTGCAGGCTCCTGGTTCTGCTGCTCATGGCGGCTGGGGCGCGGCCAGTTCTCATGGTCCCAGTGATGCTCACGAGCAGCCAAGACGGAGAACCGCGGGGCCAGGCGATTCGGCCCCTTTGTCCCCTTTGGTTGGTTGTAATGTCCCCTGTTATCTGACAGCTACTAGCCTCAGTACAGAATTGGAGGACATCAGAGGGACATTTTCCAACAATGCTCCTTGAAACTGACCTTTGGCAGAGACGGCGAAATGAACACAATTCCTGACTTGGCAGGACTTGGCAAACGCGTTAGAATCTGTCCACTGTGGTGGCCATCAGGCCGGTGAGAAGTCTGCGGAGCTGGGCACAGGCCCAGCCCCCGTGTTGCCTGCCTCGGTCCCAACACTTGCACCAGAGGAGGGTGAAGATGCCCACGGTGTGCTGCTGGGCACCGCCACGTGTGAGGGGTGAGCACACCCACCTCACACTCACACAGCAGCCTTCAAATCAAAGCCTGGAGTCGGAGTGTGGGAGGGGCCCCGAGCCACCCTGGGGTCTCTGAGCGGCCCCCCGCCGTCGGGCCGACGATGACGGGCAGACGATGGTAACTCCCTGTGCTCCCCCCTCCCACTCTTCAGACGCCTCCGACAGGCATCACAGACCTGACGCTATCGGGGATCCCTCTGAAGACACTCGACTGACCACCCTCGTCCACCCGGGGCAGCCCCCGGTGCTCTGTGATCGGTCCCCAGGGACGGGCCCTGTGTTGGCGGCACGGAACCCTGCTCCAGAGGGCACCGTCCCTTCGGGGGGGCCCCCGCAGGAGGGCCGGGGGCCAGTGTCTCCACGATGGAGGCTCCTCCCTCTCCCCCATTCTCCGCCCCCACCGCCCTCCCCATCTCCCCGCGCACACACTTACTGCAGGCCGCACAGGTGAAGCAGGCGTCGTGGTAGAGGTTCCCCATGGCCTGGCAGGCCTGGCCGGCCCCAAACACCCCTTTGCTGCATTTCACACAGGTACCTGCAGGGGCGAGAGCACACCGGTGAGTCGGGAAGGAGCAGTGTGAACTGGGTCATCAAAAGCCCACGAACAAAGCCAGATAATCCTCTCCATAAGCAGCTCCTCACCAAGCCCCACGGCTACTCCTTTGAAAAGTCTCTTTGTCTCACACTTTCTCCCTCCCCCAGCTGTTCAAGGGTCAGGGTTTCCAATGGCAGGGGACAGCCACCAGGCTGGGAGCCAGGCGCTGCTCCCCACTTGCCATCCTCCACTCCACACACCTCCACTTTGCCCACCTACCTGCCCCCTTGCCCAAAGCTCTCAGAGTCCCCCACCGTGGCTAAGACAACGTCCAAAGCCCCACGCTGTGCTTGCAACACGCCAAGCCCACAGATCGCAAGATTTCAGGTAAACGATTTCCTTTAATTCTCAGTGCGAACCACCAACTAGGGTTTACCATCCTTGCTTCTTACACAAGTGCCAGGCCCCCAGCCTCAGGTCCAGCAGTCTGCAAAGGTGCTCTCTCCTGCCCCCCATCACCTGGCGCCTCACCTCCAAACATGACCCCCACCCTGGGATCTGAGCTCTTAGCCTCCCTGCTCATGGGCCCCCCTGACTGGCACCCCACGCCCACCTTCTGCTCCTTCCCGTCCTCCAGGTCTCCCCCATCCCTCCCGCCCTCTGAGTCTGAGGCAACACGGGGAACCAGAAGTCAAAGAGCCAGGTCGCCTCCCACCTGGCTGGAGCGAACCTGGGAAGCTCTCTGAGCATCGGTCCTTCATCAGGAAAGGGAGGTGCGTCCCACACGCCCTGCCCGTCTGCCGGAGTCTGCCGGAGTCTGCCGGAGTCTGCCGGAGTGGCAGGAAAGGCTGCTTTGCAAACCAAGAGTTCTGAAGACTTTGTCTACCTCGACCACAACGCTGTCTCCGAAAGACCCAGGCTTGAAGAGTTACGCCACCATCTGGGGTCACCCACGCACTGGGGTGACGGGAGCCTTGCTCAGGGCTGCCTGGGGACACACGAGGAGAGCTGAGCATGGGGCCCCTCCTCTGCCAGATGCTCAAGAAATGGGCGTGTAAATGGAAAGGATGACAGTCACGCTACTGCGCTCGGCAAGGAGTGGCCTGCACGCAAGGTGGGCCCTTTGAGGCTCTCCGGGTACCGGCTCCTGAACTTGGTCGGCAGGGGTGTGGCCCCTTCCGACTCTGGTGCACATCAGTCGGGCAGAAACTCGCCAGCCCTTTGCTGCAGGGTGGGAAGCCCTGTGTTCTCCTGAGCACCTATCGCCCCAAGCTGACACACGGACTACGCCACCGCCACTGTTGGCGGGAGTCCCAGCCGACACCCCTCACGGATGCACTCACGCCAGCCAGCAGTGTGTCCACACAGAGCGCACTGGGCCGGGGCCCCCGGGCCGCCCCGCTGGGCTCCCTGAGGAGCGAGCGAGGCCGTCTGCAGGGACGGTATGGCGCTGCCCTAGGAACCTACTCTCAGGGACTTTGTTCACGGAAAACCCTAAACAACACAATTTGTAGTTCTTCGGTTTCGACGTGAAGAAAAATTTTCAAGTGTGCAGAAAAGGTGAATCATACAGGGACCCCCATATACCCATCATCGCAATTCCATCACTGTTAACACCCGTCAATCCAACCTCCCACCTTCTCTTTATTTGCTGTGAAATCGCCTGTGTGTATGCATGTACAAGCGTGTGCACACGTGTGCAGGTGTGCAGGACGAGACCGCAGGGCAGCTGGTGTTCTGCACTTAGCACAAGCTAGTGGCGTGCCCCCCACGGCACGAAGTGCAAAACCTCAAGGAACTCAGAGGTATCAGCACCTACTCTCGTCTGATAATTTCACGTACAACTTAGGCTGCTCCAACATCCGGAAAGACATTGGTTCTGGACACGCTCGGAGCTGCGACAGTCAGCAGGGACGTCAGCGTGAGGATGGCAGGGTCCTGCCGTGACACCTCCTCCGTAAGGCTCATTTCCGCGGGCTCATCCCTCCAGGGGCGGCCGCTGCTGGGACCCGGAGGTCTGGTCACTGGAGCAGGCCGGGGGACGTGAAAGCGAACACACTGGCACGTCTGCCGATGGACTAAGCACCTACTGTGCGAGGTGCATATGCCTTCAAAGTGAGGCCGCACCCTGACTGTGGCCTCTGCAAAGGCCCCGCCAAGCGCCGCCGGATTGAATCCCTTCCTGTGTAGCCCCACGTACCACCCTGTCCTCTCCCTCTCGTCCCCTTGTACCTGGGGTACCCATGTCCATCCCCCTGGTAAGTGTCTGTTACAGAGATTCAGAGTCTTATTCCTCTCTGAACACTGGCAGGCACTGACAGAGTGCACCCAGTAGGTCTTCAGCAAACATGTGAATACAGAAACAGGTTACACGGACATCGCTGAGAGCTGACTGTGGCTGACTCAAACGTGGTGATGGAGGAAGATGCCCCTGAAAAATGCCACACGTCAAGTAATGGCGTGGTGTTGACTAGCCTATTCGGGGAGCCCGAGGTCCATTTCCAGCCCACCCCGTCCCAAGTCCCCCACTGACCTGACTCTAGACCTGGACACCAAGTGGTGAAGGCTGGCTCATCACGCAGCAGCCGCAGGGTGCTCAACTGCTTGGACAGAACCCAGCTCACCAGCACGAGCAAGGCCACCCCCAAGGGCAGCCCCACCTCTTCCCTGCTGAGTGCCGTGGCCTCTTTGCTGAACCCACCGCACAAATGTAACCGCAAAGGGCTGAGTAGCCGTGTGAGCCGAGGGCATGGTCAGCCCGGCCACTGTGCCCCGGTGAGCACAGGGGGAGGACCGGCCTTCGAGACAGCTTGCCAAGGAGGGACGCAGGAAGAAAAAGCCCACGGTTGGCAGGAGGCTGCCAGCTCCGAGTGGAGGCACGAACTCGTCTAGTTTGGGTTTGGGGACTGAGGTCAGAGCAGCTGACTGGCTCCTGCTGGTAAAGCGAACGGCAGGATGGACAGCACCTTCGAGTGGATGCAACCGCCAGGCTTCCCAGGCTTCCTGTGACTTTATCTCTTGACGTCAGGCCTTCCGCCCCTGCTGCGGCCGGCGGAGGACACTGTCTTCTGGCTTCCTCTTCATCTGGGGGCCGTGACCTACTGACTTCCACCTTGCCCCTCCCCCTTCTTACTGTGGTGGTGGGCTGGTCCTTAAGCAGCCAGCATCCTTTCCCAGCATGTGGCTGCCTCGCACAGATACAAAGCAAGGAAGGACCACCAGCCAGAGCCAGGAAGATCCCATAAGAAGCCACGTAGGTAGGAAAGTATTTCATCCCTGCGGTTTGTGGTACGTGGACAGAAAAGAACCACGTGGGCAGGAAACAGATTGATTCTTCCTTTGGTAAGAAAGAGAAAAATCACTTAAAGTCAATGTCACAGTCTAGGAAAAAACGCACCTACCAGACTCCTACCTGGGAGTTTGCTTCCAGAAAAGGAGCCGCTGCCAACGCCCCTTTCTGAAACCCAAGTTCTGGAAGGGAAGATGCTGTCACCTGGGGATCACACCACCGGCAGCATCGGGAGAGAGAATCTGAGCCCAGGCTCTAACTCCAAGGTCCTGTTCTCCCCGTCTGGTCGGCAGATGCGACTATTCCAGCTGCACGTACGGGCCCCCCCAAAACAGGGAGCTCCTTCCTCACCCCTGCTCAGGGATCCGGACCCAAGACCAGCCCCGTCCCAGGTCTCCTGGCCCACCTCCCATCAGGACCCCAACCACAAGCTCCCGTCATGTGGACCCCCGGTTCCTCCTGCCCGTCCGCCAGGGCCACTGCGGATGCAGCATGCACCCCACAAAAGCTTCTCTCTTGCTCACGCCGAGCCAGGCTCTCTCCACACACAGTAGGATGGTGAGCAAAGGGACCGCACTCTGGCCCTGCCCTCGTGAAACGGTCACCTAGACAGCCAGGAAACCGGAGTCTGCCAGGCTGACCGAGCTCATCCAGGGCCCTGCTGAGTGGCCTCGGGAGAGACCCAGGCTTGTGAAACAATAAGAAATGTGTGTATCAGTCTGTGACCCCAGTTCTGACACAGAGTCCCTAAACCCTTTGCAATTTCCTGGGTGACAGGAGCATCTTTTGTTCTCAGGAGGCGATTCTGAGTGTGCTCCTGGACTGGGGCTGGTCCCCCAGGAAGGCCAAGCCATGAGCACAGCTTGGTACCTGCAGCCCCACCCACCCCCGGGGAGGGCAGGGGGCCTGGGGAAGGAGTCCACGATGGGCCTACACCAGGGGGTCTCCCCCAAAACCCTCAACGTGCAGGCTCAGAGTGGGCTTCAGGGCTGGGGGACACACCCGCACACTGGGAGGGTGGCACGCCCCCTCCACGGGGCAGGAGCTCCTGTGACCAGACCCTTCCGGACTCGCCTGTGGACCTCGGTACCCGGCTGTTCGCCTGATTCCTTTATCACATTCTCTACAACCAACTGGGAGACATACGCTTCGCCCTGAGCTCTAGGCACTACAGGAAATAACGAAGCCCCAGGAGGGAGTTTCGGGAGCCCCAGCACAGCCAGCCAGTCAGTCAGAAGCACACGTGACAACCTGCACTTGCGACTGGCACCAGCAGCGGGACAGGGGACAGTTTGACGTGGGGTCAACGCTAACTCCACATGGCGTCAGAACTGAACTGCGGGGCCCCTGGCCGGCGTGGAGACCCGTCCGGCGTGGGGGGAACCGCACAGCAGGTGTCAGGTGTGTCGTGACTGTGAGCGGCCGAGGCACAGAGAGGCGGCTCGACACCTCTGCTTCCCCGTGGCCCCTCGGCTACAGGACTCTAAAAATGACCCCCAACGGGGGAAAGTGAGAGTGTGTTCTCACTCGGGACTCTGATAACACACGCTCAAAACCCAGGGGGAAGGGAGGGAAGAAGCAACCAAACTCACAGCGGAGAGGAAGAGTGGGCATTTCCGCCCCCGCAGCGGGACTTCCTGCCCCCAGACCGTTCTCCAGACTGTGCCGGGCGACCTTTCCACCGACGGGTTTGGGGAAGTGGACCTGACAT